CGGTTCGACCCCGCATTCGCGAATGAGAATTTCCATAGAAGACTTTTTATGCCCACGAGCGGCGTTGAGAAGACAATACACGCCGTTAAAGGGGTGTGAGTGCATAGATTTTTTATTTTATGGCTACAAGCAACCGGCATTAACTTGGATTTATAAACAATACGCGTTGAAGAATACACACCACAATTAATGCCAGGTAAGTATACCTACACTCGAGGTCTACAGAAGACCAAAGATCCCAGTTGGTCGACTAGCTCCAAGTCGTCGATTGATGGATGTGTAACACGCGAACGTGCGGTTCGATCCCGCATTCGAACGAATTGCGTCGTTTGTAGGAGACTTTTTTATGGCCACGAACGGCGTTGGGAGCATGATGATAAATAAGCTGAATCGGATATTAATTAGTCTGGGCTCTCAGAGTGGACATACCATCTACCCTACGACTCGTTCGATTCCTGGTTCTTGGACTGCGCAAAGGGTAGAATGTACGGTCCATTTTCGGTGCTGCTGTGCGCGAATATAATGTTTCGTGAAAGTTAGTTTGAGGAACGCGTGGAAACAACGAGCGCTGTTGCGGAAATTATATATTGGGGCACGACGGAGAGCTCTGAATGTTATTAGGGGTATACGTGTAGATACATACGGTAATAGTCGACAGATAGGTATCTCGTGTGCTCTCTAGCCCCACGCGGCGGTCGTGCTATGGGAAGGGCGTCGTGAGATTAAAAGGAGAGAAGAAAAGGGGGACGACGGACCTATAGTTTACGATGAGATGACCGTCGGTCGAAAAAAGGGAAACACGGACCTATAGTTTACGATGAGATGACCGTCGGTCGAAAAAAGGGAAACACGGACCTATAGTTTACGATGAGATGGCCGTCGGTCGCAAATGACTGGGGGGGTGGGTGATGAGATAAGAGGTGAGGTCGCGAGGGGGACTCCGTACCTTGAAGAGGTTGGACACTGTATCATCCGGCGCGGGCGAAAACGCGAGATTAACGTACGTAAACTACACAACAAAAACTCACAATCAAGAAAAATGCATCGTGTGGTTGCGGGGGACTCACGAGTGGATCACCAGCCTGCCATCCGAGTTCCTTGCGCAAGAACTGTATAACGGCCTGGAAGCGGTTACTGGAAGTGATTTTGTAAAAGTTTTGTTTCATTATTGGGGCGTTGCCGACGGCTTTGAAGCGGACGATGACTGGTGGGGGGTGGGGGTGAGAGTGAGCTGCCGGGAGATGAGTTGGGGACGGACCTTTGGATGCATCGCGTTGTTTGTAGGTGTCGAGGGCTTTGATTGCTTCGGGGAAAGAGTCAGAGTGCTCGGGTGGGCCCCAGGGGAGAGGCCGGGAGGACGGGTCGGGGCTGTTGATAGTGTGCGCCATGGGGAGAGCGGACGGACGCGCGCGGCAAGAGGGCCGTGGGGTGTGTATTGGGTTGTGTATACACGCAGGTCAAGAAATCGGATATGGTGTAATGGCTAACATTGCCGCCTCTCATTGTTGAGAGGTAACAGTTGTTCGCGGCAGCTCGGGGTTCGATTCCCCGTATCCGAAGTTTGTTTTTTTTTTTTATTTTCAATTTTATTGGGGGGCAACAGGGCCAAACACCCTGGATTATGGATCAGATTTGGGTTTTGTCGGTGACCGTCATGGGGAACGCAGCGTCAAATGCATCTGGGCAACAACGACCGAGCCCGCGGCCGCGGCAAGCGAGCACATCGCCGTCGCCTGGCAACCCGCACCCGTCTCTGCGGACGAAGAAAAAGTCGCTGGAACTGCCAGACCTTGCGTCGCTGACACTGTCGTCGACACGGGGCCGGCAGCCCTCGATGCCGCCCAAGTCAGCATCGATCCCGATCCCGGTGGCGGCCAGTGCGGTCCCCGGGGAGGCAGGCCGGACACGAGCGCCGATCGCGCTGCCCAGCCATCCGGATGTGCAGCTCCTGGACCACCGCCAGCCGTTCCCTCCGCGGTCTCGTGCGGATCGCGACCGGGAGCGAGACGGACACCAGCGGAGCAGGACGCGTCGGATCCAGGAAATGTACGACGAGTCGCACCAGGCGCCGGCGACACTGCGGCAGCCGTTTGTCGCGGAGACGGTCACTTCGGCGCTGCCGGTCGGCCTCACGCATGTCGGGCACGATGGCCCGGCCGAGCTGGTCCCCGTCAAGCTCACGTGGAACGGCGGCGGCAAGGCTGTGTATCTGGCCCGTGCAGGCGACGACGACTGGAAAGGCCGTCTGGCGATGATCCCCGAGTGCGTCATTCCGTCTGTTCTCCATCTCCATCTCTCATCTCCCGCAGATCACCCGGCTCGGCCGTCTACCATGCAACCGTCAGCCTGCCCCCGGGCACCCACCACTTTCGCTTCCTCATCGACGAGTCCTGGCGCGTGGCAGACGACCTCCCCACCGCCGTCGACGACCAGGGCTCACTCGCAAACTACGTCGCTGTCCCCATCCCCTCCTCGCCCCCCCCGACCAAGACACGTCCCGCCCAAAGCTTCTGGAGCGCCGCCTCCGACGACCCACACGAGCCCACCCACTCCCACCCTACGCCCCAACCCCACCACCCACACTCACACCCAACATGGACCTCTGTCCTCCCCCCCGAGCTACTCGAAGCCGCCCGTGAAGAAGAGGCATACCTCGCCGCGTCCGAGGGGTACGTCTCACACACCAACACCACCACCCGCGTTGCGGGCTTTGTCCCTGCCCCCAACATCCCCCCCGCCCCGGGCCTCCCGCGCCACCTCGATAAGCTCATTCTGAACGCGAGGGCCGTCGTCCAGGGCGGTGCCGTCGTGGGCAGTGGCGCCGTGCCCCCGAGGAAGGGGGGTGGCGGTGGCGCCGCGCCGGCCGGAGGGAGAAAGGGGAGGGATAGAAGGGACACTCGAGACGGATGGCGGGACCGAGACCGAGACCGAGACCGAGACCGCGATCGCGACAGACGCGACCGCGATCGTGATCGAAGGAACCCCCCGCCCGCGCCCCCACCAAGCGAAGCAGACGTCGAACCTGACCCTCCCCCACCCGGATCCACACCCCGCTCCCCTGTCCCCGACGCACCCACCTCCCCCATGATCTCCCCTGCGTCCCCGCCCACCCCTGCATCTCCTACTCCCGCCTCCCTTACCCCTTCCACACTTTCCTCGTCCCGTCAACAAACTATAAGCCTCGACACGACCGACTCGACGCCTCTCACTGACGACGCGAGTGTCCTCCCCGTCCCCTCCCACGTCGTGCTGCACCACCTCTCGACCAGCGCCATACGCAACGGCGTCCTGGCCGTCGGTACCACAACGAGGTATAGGAAGAAGTATCTGACGACCGTTTATTACAAGGCTACGACCTAGCGGACCTCTGTGTTTGTGTGTCCTCTTGTCTAACGATTTTCGCCATTTTACGATTTTTACGAAATGTATTCTTTCCCCCATGCTTGATACTATATATTATACATACATACATAGAGAGAGAGATTTTATAGATGCGTTTTTTGTATGGTCTCTGTTGAAAATGTACAACGTGAACCTCGGAAACGTTATGCGCAAAAAAGGAACAAAAAAAAAATACCAGAACCTCAAGAAGAAAATTCGGGTACGGGGAATCGAACCCCGAGCTGCCGCGTAAACGCTGTGTATCTCTTAATGATGAGAGGCGGCAATGTTAGCCGTTACACCATACCCGATTATTTATACCTTTGCAATTT